TTTTTTAAAAAAAACATACTCATCCTTACAAAAAACAGTTGGAAGTAAAGAGATTAGTGTCACAATACACTTATATAGACAATATATAAAATTGAAGATAGGAAGTAACTTCACACTGTGACTGATTTTTAAAAGTATGTTCTAATTTTTAGCTCAAATCATATGAGATGCTGAGAACAGAACGTTCCAAGTAACAGAGTAATATGTAGAATCATTTTCTTAAAATGCACACCGGAAAAGTCAAGAAAGAAGTAACAGACTGGGTGTAAGGAAAAGCATAAAAAAAAAGGATAAATCCTAACCCCACTATATCCATTAGAACATATAAATAAATAAACAAACAAACAAACAAACAAACAAACAAACCAAATGTTCCTGGTACCATCAAACTTTGCTTGAACATATTCCCCCGGAATATTCCTAGAGCTTGTAACTAAAACATGAGGATTAAAGTGAAAAAAAAAAAAGTTTTTAATGCAGTGATAACCAAACAACCAAAATGGCAGTATGAATATTATATAGAATAATCTTTAACACTAAAGGAGTTTGTCACTGTTATTAATAGTGTTATTTTTCAATATCTAAATGTACACTACTTATTGGACAACAAGTCTACATGATGGAAAACCAACATGATCTATGTGTATATGTATATAAGATATAAACACACATAAGCATATAGGTATGTAGGAAACACTGATTTTAGCTCATGAGACATAAAAGCATTGATCACAGAGGGGTGACATCATCCAAGATGGTGAAATGGGTAGTTCCCACTTCAGTCTTTCTCACAGAACACTCAACTAGCAGCTATCACACGAGACACCATTGGGCAAATCTCAGTACTCAGGAGTGAGGCTGAAGCACCACCTCGACCATGGAGACCAAGACTTCTATCTCTTGGGGCGCCTGGGTGGCTCAGTCAAGCATCTGCCTTCGGCTCAGGTCATGATCCCGGGGTCCTGGGATCGAGCCCCACATCGGGCTCCTTGCTTCTCCCTCTGCCTGCAGCTTCCCCTACTTGTGTTCTCCCTCGCTCGCTCTGACAAATAAATAAATAAAATCCTTAAAAAAAAAAATGACTTCTATCTCTTGCTATTATGAAGACACATCCAGATTTTGATGAACTGCCAGCGTTTTCTCCTCAAACAGCAGTGGGTAGAACTATTGAAAATTGAGAATGTTCCTGTTTTATCTAAATGCAAAGAATGATGCCCTGAACACATACTTCACGGTGACTTGTATCAGTGTTAGAGGTCAACCACAAACAGCATCTCCATTCAGGTTTTCTTCACACTGCCCATTACAGTGTCCTTAACTTTCCATGGAAAAGTAGGTATTGAATGGATTCCCTACTATATAAATGCCCCTCTTATCTGTGAGACAGCAACAAATGATTTTACATATACACTACCAATAAAGGCATGAAATAATTTATGAGTAAAGTTAATGACATTTGCCATTCAAAAATACTCAAATATGGTCAAGAGAAAAAAGAAAGACATACTGTCTTAAAGTGGGGCTTTCCTCGAGATGTTTCATACCCTCAGTCTCTTCTGGCACTAAAATTTCATTTTGGGTAATTGTCCCAGTTTGGTTATATCTATCATAAAATCCTGCCTGCCCTTTTCTACCCTCCTCCCTCCCCAGGCACATTCCCAGTCACTCATTAAGTATAAATACTCAGGGCCACAGCTTTCATACCTTTCCATATCACTCTATGGAAAGAATATTCTTTGTCTTTGCCAATAAGCCTAGGGCTTCAGAAGATATAACTGAAAGACACCAGGTATTTATCTCACTTACTACACTTCATGTAGATAGACATCAAAATGCTAATGTACAAAATGAATACCCGTCACAGAACATCAGCAGAATGGAGAAATAAGAACCACCAGGGCTTTGCTCCTCCATGGAGACAAAAATGGACCAAACTACCTTTTTCAGTGCTCCAGAAGCCAGTTAGAAGACCACAGCACCACAGGCAGACACAAAATGAAGGAGAGTCACATTGAAGAGACCAGGAGCTTGTTACACTTGCCTACAATAGTTGTTCACGCTGCCTAGCATTCCATAACAAGATTGTGAGAAAACTCTCACCTCTTCTCAGGAGAGAAAGACATTAAGTGACCTCTTATGTTTAATGATCTGGATTCTGCAGCTGCCTGATAGACCTCTTCCTCTCGTGCAGGACATGGAGGGCTGAGGGCACCCTCTGGATGCACTATGGCGGCCGCTCAGAGGAAACCTGAGTACTTGTTCAAACAGCAGAGAAACGGCAGAGCTGAAGGCAAACATCAGGGAGAGGAAGGTATCATGGGCTCCAAAGAAGGAAAAAAAAACACTTTTACAACTGGAAAATTACAAAAACTCAGATATTACATATCCCCAAAACATGTTGACAAGCCCCAGAATTAGCAGCACAGCTGACTGTTATTTGTGTTCTCCTGTCAAAGGAAGTACATAAAGCCTGGGACCAGAGGCCATTTCTTTTGCTTGTTTGTTTTAATTCCCAAATCTCAACAAAGGATCACAGGGCATACAAAAAAAAAAGAAGAAAAAAAAAAAAAAACAGAAAAGTAAGTCCCAATCAAAGGAACAAAATAAAAGACCCCAGACTGGCCCTAAATAAATAGAGAACTATTAAATGCCTACAAAGAATTCAAATAACCATCAGAAAGATGCTCATACAGGAAGAAGAGATAGGAAAACAAATGATATCAGGAAAACTATGCATGATCAAAACAAAAATCCAAAGAGGTAGAAAGTATAAAAGACAACAAAACAGAAATTGGGAGCTAAACAGTACAATTACTGAATTTAAAAATAAACTGGGGACGCCTGGGTGGCTCAGACGTTAAGCGTCTGCCTTCGGCTCAGGTCATGGTCCCAGGATCCTGGGATCGAGCCCCGCATCAGGCTCCCTGCTTGGAGGGAAGCCTGCTTCTCCCTCTCCGACTCCCCCTGCTTGTGTTTCCTCTCTCCCTGTGTCTCTCTCTGTCAAATAAAGAAAATCTTAAAAAAAAATAAAAAACTGAAGAATCAGCAACAGACTTGATTAAGCAGAAGAAAGAATCAGACATCTTTTTTTTTTTTTGAAGATTTTATTTATTTATTTGAGAGAGACAGAGCAAGCACAAGCAGGTGGAGTGGCAGGGCAGAGGGAAAGGAAAAAGCAGGCTCCCCACCAAGTAGGAAGCCCGATGCGGGGCTCAATCTCAGGACGCTGAGATCATGACCTGAGTTGAAGCAGACACTTAACCGACTGAGCCACCCAGGCGTCCCAAGATGCCTGATTCTTTCTGGGGCACCTAGGTGCCTCCCCTCCGCCATCTCTCTTTCTCTCAAAAAAATAAGACAAAAAAACAAAACAGCAAATAAAAACATATATTATTAAAAAAGAATTCTATTTTACTATAATTTTAAACTGTGAATGTGCATGTATGAAAAGCAAGCATTTTGAATCATTGCTATGTCCTATATGGCAGTAAAACTGTGAAGGAAATTCATTATGATCAATCATAAAAATCTCTAATGGAAAATTTTCTGAACAAGCACTTAAAAGACATTAAAGAAATGTATTATGTTATTAATTTGTTCCTCCTACTCTTACAGAGAATGTAAAGCGGTGATCCATTCTTTAGAACCAAACAAAAGCCCTTTATTTCTAAATAAAGAAACACAGAAATTATAAAATATGCTCACAATTCCTTTATATAAAATAAATATTTGGGACTGGGGTGCCTGGGTGGCTCAGTCGTTAAGCGTCTGCCTTCAGCTCCGGTCACGATCCCAGAGTCCTGGGATCGAGCCCCGCATCGGGCTCCCTGCTCCGCGGGAAGCCTGCTTCTCCCTCTCCCACTCCCCCTGCTTGTGTTCCCTCTCTCGCTGTGTCTCTCTCTGTCAAATAAATAAATAAAATCTTTAAAAAATAATAATAAAATAAAATAAATATTTGGGATTAAATTCAGATACATTCTCAGGAAAGTGGACGAAAAACCTGAAGACTGATTTTTCCTGAAATAAATTACATGAATAAAACTTTTTTTTTAATATGGGACTTTTACTAATTATATAATTCATTTCTTATAAAGCACATGCCTTTGTCACAGCAGAACTTCTCATTTCAGAATCAAGTGAATCTCCTATAAAAGTAATCAGAAAGTGAAAATAGGACACAGTCACAGGAAATTCGTATTAAACTGGACAAAATTATAAAAATGATGCAATTATTAAGAAATAAGGTAACAACTGGGACTTTATGTACTAAGTACTAAGTGTTCTAGCTCCTCTATGGCATTACCTTATATAGGAACTCTGGGATACAAACAGAAACACTAAATTGAGGAACTGGATCGCATTGAGTTGTGATTTCTACTCTTAGTCCAGACAAGAGAAAGGAAATTGTGAAGGGAAATGAAGCATTAGATTTTTCTCATTTTAGGGAGGTGCTTTGTTATTTGAAGAAATTACTGTCTCCATTTTGTACAGTTATGTTTAAAGCTTCCATAAAATTGGAAATCATAAAGCAGAAAAGAGGTGAAATCTGTCTCTACCGTTCCTAGGATTTCTGCACCAAGCCCCAATATGCCCACCACTCCCCTCACACACCTCTGACATGAAGCAAAACAGAACTTAGAAATGGTCTAACAGAGTTCCTCAGAAATAGGCAGATTTTTCCTATAACAGATTTCCCCAGGTCTCCAAAAGCAATGGAAAAGCACTCAGATCATGAAGGCCTTCACCATCCAAGTGGAGGGTGTTGTCTATGCTGTGAATGTGATGGAAGATCACTAGAGCTGAATGAGAATCCTCACAGGATGTAAGAGCATGATGAGTGTTGGACAGGGGGTGTCCCTCTGACAGCAAGAGAAATACACCAAGGCTTCTCAAACTTATTCCTATTCCAAGAGAGCTACCCAAACCACAGTGTAAGGTCTAGCTTCCTCCTTGACCTTTGGGCCTCACCTCTGTCATCTGCTTTATTCATTCCCACCTACCTGGGTGGATGGCTACTGTCTCCTTTCCCTTCACATCCCAGAGCTCCCTCTTTTGCTCCAAAAAGATGACCAGGTCTGGCTTTGACACAACAAGACCTGTTTATTAGAAAAAAGGAATGAGTACTGCTAGAGATTCTAGCTTTCAATCCAGTATTACGCTCACTAGAGAGAAGAGAAGACATTGTAGAATTCTAGAAAATGACTTCCCAGAAGCTGTGGTCTAATAGCCCACTGAGAACATGAAGGAGGGATTTGTAATGTTCAAATCTTGGATTCCACTTCCAAGTACTACATACAATAATGAGTGGAAATTGGAGTTTAAGATGTGGGCAGTACCATTTTATGCCCCTCAATAGTTAGAATTGCCACTAATCTACAGAAATGATGATGTTACCTTAAGGAAGGGGAAGCTAAAGCTGGAAAGGAAACATCATGAAGATTTTTCTCTCCACCTCTAAACCCTTACTTACTTCCCTTACTGCAGCGATCTGAATCCCAGTCGTGCAAAGAAGAATCTTCCAAGAGACGGTCTTCAAGGGAAGGAAGAAAACCCTGAGTGTGGTTTGGGAAGTCTGGAAGGAAGTTATCCTCACCCAAGAAGAGAAGGTTTCCATAGTTCTCTAACATCACATCCCTGTACAATTCCCGCTGAACGAGGTTCAGGCATCCCCACTCCTCCTGAGAGAATTCTATGGCCACATCCCTGAATGTCAGCAGTGCCTGCAATAAACACCACAGTTACCGAGTGGCCATTGACAGAGTTCACAATGGTTCCTAAGATGAAAGAGGAAGTTAATGTCACCAGCTAGACCCACGACCTAACCTTTCTGCTCACCTGCTAGTACCCCCCGAATTTGTCCCAAATTTTCTTTAAGCTCTTTTTCCCAGCCTTTTTTTTTTTTTTTTAAGATTTTATTTATTTGACAGACAGAGACACAAGGAGAGAGGGAACACAAGCAGGAGAAGTGGGAGAGGGAGAAGCAGGCTTCCCGCTAAGCAGGGAGCCCGATGTGAGGCTCAATCCCAGGACCCTGGGATCATGACCTCAGCCGAAGGCAGAGGCTTAACGACTGGACTGAGCCACCCAGGCACCCCTCAGCCCACCTTTAAATTCAGGCAAAAAAAAACCCAGGGACATAGTTTCCCATAATGGAAACAAAAACTACTACGCAAGTAGTAAATACTACCTTGTCTAAATGCTCCAGCACCCAGACCACCCAGACCAGTTTGGGCTTAAATGCCAACTCACACTTGTGCAGATGCACCTCAAGAGTGACCCAAGGAGTGACCTACAGTTACCTTTACCTCATTATAATACTAAATTCTCCCCCAAGGAGCACAAAGCTCATTTACATAACATACAAACTGTGGTTAGAATGGTTTCCTTAAAGCAGATGCATGACCTTATGCCCACCTCTTCATAAGATGACAAGGCTACCCTTTCTAAATATTCATCCTAAGCCTAAATAAAAGGAACTCATTCACCCTTGCTCTGGGAGTCTTGGCTTTGGAAATTATTCCCTGTGATCTCCTTATTTGCTATAAATAATTTTCCTTGGTGTGACAACTCCACTGTGTAGTTTCTGTCTGTGATTCACCGGGAAGCAAATTCACTTTAGTTCAGTTACAAATTTGGTGATCCAGATGGGACAGGTGTCTTTCCCAAGTTCTGGCCTCCAACAGATGAAGCTGTGGGCACCACAAGCTCACCCCGGCTAACCTGTTCAAGTTACTGGGGCCGGGGGCAGATTCCCTGAGGGAGGAAGGAGGCTCTCACTCTTCGTGCCTGTGACTGCCAGCCTGGGGTTCTGACATCACCTGAAATCCAGCATCCACTCTGACTACTATTACTCAGAAGGACTTCTGTTGGGATAAGTTAACAACAGGTACGTGACACAGCTTTTTTTTTTTTTAAGACTTTATTTATTAGAGAGAGAGTGAGATCACAGATCATGAGTGGGGGGAAGGGTAGAGGAAAAACAGACTCCCCACTGAGCAGGGAGCCCAATGAGGGGCTTGATCCGAGGACTCTGGGATCATGACCTGAACTGAAGGCAGATGCTTAACCAACTGAGCCACCCGGGCGCCCTGTGACACAGCTTTCAGAGGTAAACTAGAGTTGTCTGACAAAGTCTGGGCAAGCCAGCATAATATTAGGTCAGAATACTCTGAGGGAATTGAATACTCATTCAACTTGAGTCTAGACATCCCTGATGACAGATCACAGGACCCAGCCTTTCACAGGCTTGGGATGATCTAATCTAGCAAAATGGGAGTGAACTAATGGAGACTAGTCTAAGGTCTGTGAGATTGAAACCTCCATCTCACCTGGTTGTTTGGTCTGTTTGTTGTTCCCAATTTAAATGCCCACCCTGGCTGCTTGGTCCTTAAGCACTTCCTCCTTTCCCTTAACCCCGAAAAAAAGGAGGCAGCAACTCCCTGGGTCCCTGGAAGCATGCACTTGACACAGGTAAGAATTCTATTTAGCTGGTTAAAAGACAAATGCTTGTTAAAAAAAAAGGGGGGGGGCATTCTAAAATCCACAAAAATATAAAGTAACCCAAATTTTCTCACATCTACTTATCTGGGATCATTTTGGTAAATTAAAGTTTAAGCTTATTGGTTTAATTAAAATAGACCTGTCTTTTGGACAATGCCAGGGGAGGATTGGTGAACAGACTTTACTGTAATGCCAATGGCCCCTGGTGTTTGTAAATACATTCACTGGATGGACTAAGGCCTTTCCCTGAAGGACAGAAAGAACTAACAAAGTAACTAGGCCCTTAGTAAAGGAGAAAATTCCTCAATTTCAGTTGCCAAGGTCAATCCAGAATGACAATGGGCCAGCCTTTATATCCAAAATTATTTGAGGTGTCGTGTAGAGGTTACACTCTGCCTGGAGACTCAGTCTTCTGGGAAGACAGAATGGGAGAGCAGAACCCTAAAACAGACTCTGGCAAAGTTGTGCCAGGAAACAGGAACATTGGTTAAAGTTACTACCAACAGCTCTCACCAGAGTGAGAGCTACCCCAAAGGGCAAACTAAAATCTTGGCCCATTTGGGATGACGTATGGGAGGGCTTTCCAAAATGCTCTGACTCCTTCTCACCTCCAGACCCACAGGTTTCTCAAGCCATTAAGCATATAATTAATCTCTGACAGGTGATGAATACACTCAACAAATATGAAAATTTTTCCTCCCTCTACCCACTGATATTAAGCTTCACCCAAATGAAACTGGGGACCGTAGTAGTACCCAGTGCTACTAATCACATGCTCTTCCTTCACATTAGAGGGAGCCCTACCTTGAATCCACCCTAGGAGAGTAAAATAGGCATCTACCCAGAGGCCCAGGGGGAGATGCTACTAGCACCAGGTAACAACAAATATTCCTGTGAGCCATTCACTGACCTGAAACTTCTGTTGGAGAAACTCACAAGGTTAGGAGAGCCTCAGTGCGTAAGGACTCTCAAATTTAAACCACAATAATCTCTATCTGCAGGACAGTAGTTCTGCTGTTCTGGTTTCTTCAGCCTTTTTGTTTGCTGCCAGGCCCCTTTAACAGATTAAATCATTCTCTGACTGCTGAGTAATAAATACCACAGTTTATTGTTAGTACATGGCAAATAGATGCCCTAGACCCCTCTGACTTGGTCTGATTTTACAATGAACACTTTTTCCTTTTTTTTTTTTAAGGTTTTATTTATTTGAGAGAGAGTGAGCAAGCGGGGGTGGGGGAGGAGGAACAGAGGGAGGAGGGAGAGAATCTCGAGCAGACTGCACTGAGTGCAGAGCTTGATCGCTTACCAGAAAACAGTGGATTTATACAAATTATAAGCTATATGTAGCATCCATGCCCTGTAATGCCTAGTGTATTTATTTGTTTTGGGGGGCTTTTTTTATTTTTATTTTTTTTTAAGATTTTATTTATTTGAGACAGCGAGAATGAGAGACGGAGAGAGAGCACATGAGAAGGGGGAGGGTCAGAGGGAGAAGCAGACACCCTGCTGAGCAGGGAGCCTGATGCGGGACTCGATCCCGGGACTCCAGGATCATGACCTGAGCCGAAGGTAGTCGCTTAACCAACCGGGCCACCCAGGCGCCCTTGGGGGGCTTTTTTAAAGCCTTATTTATTTTAGACAGAAAGAGAGGAAGAGAGAGTGTGAGCGGGGGGAGGGGCACTGGGAAAGAATCTCAAGCAGACTCCCCAGTGAGCGTGGGAGCCAGATGCTGGGCTCAATCCCACGACCCTGAGATCATGACCTGAGGCGAAATCGAGAGCCGGGCACTTAACCAACTAAGCCACCCAGGCGCCCCACAATGAACACCTTCTTAATTTTACTTCTTGTCACTATTATCCTAGAGATGCTAAAAGCTATAAACACAGTGGGCCATCCCTGGGGGATAAATTCCCTATGTAAATGTCAGTAGGACTATAACAAAAAGAAACTAACAAAACACTGCTCTTATTGCTGTTTGGACCCTGCATACTTAACCGCTTGGTGCAATTTTGTCCAAGCACACAGAGGCTATAAAATTACAAATGGTAGTAACACGGGGATATGAGCAGCTTGGGGTTAGACCTGGACACCCACAAGCGTATCTAAAACTAGCAGAGGAAAAATTCTGCTCCTCAGTCAATCCTTAGGATATGCCCATGTCTAGCAGGAGAGTAGCTCCAGAAGATGGACCTTCTCCTTGTGCCCCTCAAGAACGAGGGGACTAAAACCAGAGGAGGGATTTGTCACCAGCTGGACCCTGAGACCGGACCTTTACTGCCCACCTGCCTGTACCCAGCGAGCTTTGTCCCACATTTTCCTTAAGCTCTTCTTTCCAGCTTATCTTTCAACTCAGGCAAAAGACCTGATGGGCACAGCCCCCCAATAATGGAAACTTCCTCAAGGATTAAGGACTGCTCTGACAAAGAGCTCCAGGGGCCCAAACCAGTTTGAGCTTAACCTCCAAATCACATCTGCAGATAAACAGTTACCTTTACCTCATGATAATACTAAATCTCCACTCATTTATGTAACACACAAAGTATGTATAGACTGGTTTTCTTAAGGCATGTGCACGACCTAATACCGGCCGCTATAAAAAATGACAAGGCTCCCCTTTCTAAATATTCATCCTAACCCTAAATAAAAGGAATCCACTCATCCTTGCTCGGGGAGTCAAGGCTTTGGAAGTTATTCCCAATGATCTCCTTATTTGCTGCAAATAAAATTTCCTTTTTGTCACAGCTTTACCGGGTGTGCTTTGTATCTGTGACTCACCAAGGAGTGAACTCATGTTCGTTCACTTATATTCAGGAGAACTGGTTCTGGCTCAGGTGTGTTTCCTGCTGTATCCATAAGATAATTTTTTTGAAGATTTTATTTATTCATTTGAGAGAGACAGAGACAGAGACAGCACAAGCAAGGGGAGCTGGAGAGGGAGGAGAAGACTCCCTACTGAGCTGGGCTCTATCCCAAGACCCTGAGATCCTGACCTGGGCCGAAGGCAGACACTTAACCATCTGAGCCACCCAGGTGCCCCCATAAGATAATTTTTAACACACTAATGTGCTCTAATGTATTCTCTAGCCCTGAGGTAAAAGGATGGCATATGAACCACAAAACCATTATAAATACTGTGTTTACCCAAGATAACTTGTCAAATGAAGGCCTCAATACAGGCATACACATTACTGAGAACTACATTTATATCATACAGCAGAAGTTGTGTCTATTTCTTTTTTTTTTAATGTTTTATTTATTTATTCATGAAAGTCAGAGAGAGAGAGAGAGAGAGAGAGGCAGAGGCAGAGGGAGAAGCAGGCTCCCCGCCTAGCAGGGAGCCTGATGCGGCACTCGATCCCAGGACCCTGGGATCATGACCTGAGCCGAAGGCAGATGCTTAACCATCTGAGCCACCCGGGCGCCCTGTGTCTATTTCTTACATGGAGTTTTGGTGGATTACAAATGTACTTATCAAATTCTAATGTGAGTTAGAATTTCACAACAGGCATTGTAGATCTTGTGAAAATGCAGATTCTGTTCCAGACTTCTGGAGTGGGATCGGGGTCTGCATTTCTAACGGAGGCAGTAGCGTATGGGCCAAAGGATACATTTTTTTTCTTTTTTCTAATAACAAAGCGGTAGAACTCTAAGAATTCTTGGAGGACTTGGAACTGAAGGCATTTTACTTAGCAAGAACGGCACAACAATACTTTTTGAGCATTTACTGGTTACTAAATAGCATTCTGATGACTTTTCATATATTAATGCACAAAGAAGTAATAATAATCTAACAGAACATGTTCTTTTTATGAGAATATTTTGACAAACATCCAGTACATGGAAGGGATTAGTTTTTAATCCAGGGTGTCTGACCTAGAATCGATCTAAAATGACACCCAGGACAATAATACAGAGACAAGCCTGCTGCGATCTGAGAAGGGTGATGGAAACAAGAAGACACCGACACAAAATGGATCTACTCTTTACATTTCATGCACACATCCACGCATGTAAAAAGCAATTACATACACATTAAAAGTGACAGTATAAAACTGTCATAGTAGCTGAAGAAACATTCTCAATGGCATAAAACTTATAAATCCATGTGTGGATGATGATGCTTCTGTCTTTTAATCACACTCTAAAGACAAACACACAGAATGCTGTAAAGAAAACAGCTATACACTGTATGTATGTTAACTGGAATTTAAATAAAAATTTGGGGAAAAAAAGAAAACCAACATTTGAGTCTAGTATTTCACTGAAAATTTTCTTCCAATAACCATTTATGCTATATTAGGTTTCAGAATTTTAAGATACTCAGAACATGTTAATTACGTGATTCTGGTTTTCTGTTTCTGAAAATACAAAGAAGAGAGTACGTCTGAGACATGGGTGTGGAGTAAAACAGAAACTTGCAGGACAACGGCCTGAATTCTGTATGAACACCACTTCCAGCAGTCCGTTACCTCCAGTGCACAAAAGAGAGAGCCCTCATTTTCCACTGGAAACTACAAGCAAAGAGAAACTCAGACGAAAGGAGTTTCCAGTTTGAATGTGATGGCTTCTGCACACCTTTCAGTAAATGCATCCAATCCTTATGAATGACTAAGAGACATATTTACATTATACATAAAGAATCTGGCAGAGAGCACCAAGCCAAGTAAAAGAAGTTAACAGCAGCTGTAATAATAAGCAAATTGGTATCAGTGCCGGCAGCACCAGGAAGGGCGTATGATCACTGCCCCCCAAAAATAAATCAAAATTATGAATCTAATTATGAGGAAAGAGTGGATATATACAAATCACAAGCCACACGCAGCGCCCACATCCTGTAATGTCTAGTGTATTTTTTTTTTAACGATTTATGAGAGAAAGGGAGAGAAAGCGCGAGTGGGGGGAGGGGCAGAGGGAAAGAATCTCAAGCAGACTCCCCGCTGAGCGTGGGAGACAGACGCTGGGCTCAATCCCACGACCCTGAGATCATGACCTGCGCTGAAATCAAAAGTCGGTCACTTAACTAACTGAGCCACCCAGGCGCCCTTCTAGTGTATTTTTTTTTTATTAGTGTATTTTAAATAGAGCATCTTTCTTTCACATTCTAAACAGCAAGGCTGTGTCTTTTCCAGAACTTTCTGAGTTATTTGGGACGCATATCCACCCTGCTTATTTGTGCATTTTCTTAATCCTGGCGTACACACAGCCATTAAAGTACCCAGATGGGACCTGACCGTGAAATGTTCCCCTTGACTGACTGATATCCCAGGACTCGACCGCATCGACGACAGAAATGTTTAATGCAATGCTTTCCCCTGTGAATCTGTCACAGAGGGAACATTTTCGATAGAGACAAGACATTAATTCAAAATGACAACTGTTCGTGTCCTATTGGAAGCCAGGTCGGAGGGAAGGGAAAGAGGGCTCTGGAATATAGGAGAGTATTCCAAAGAGCTGAATTTCAGTATCCTTAAAAAAAAAAAAAAAAAAAAGGAAAAAAAAAAATTATTATTATTTATTTGATTTTAGAAAGAGGGGGGCTGCGTGCACGCGCTCGGGGGAGGAGGAGAGAAGCGGACTCCGCAGTGAGTGGGGCGCCCCACGCTGGGCTCAGGCTCACCCCCCCCCCCCAGACCCCGACCCGAGCCAAAATCAAGAGTCCGACGCCTTACGGACTGAGCCACCCAGGCGCCCCTCAGTATCCTTTTTAAAAAAGGTTTTTTTAAAAAAAAAAATAGGTGAAAACACTAAAAACAGCAACATCAGTACTAAAGGAATCGACACTGGCAACTTCTGATTGCTTGGAATTTCAGGAGGAGATGACAAGGCCTCCGACCTGGGACGCAAGGCTTACCTGAGCATTGGCCATTTCTTCTTCCTTCCCCTCGATCTCTGGATTTCTTTCTCAGAGGAGAGGTCGTGGAGCAATCACAGCGGCATCGGGAGAAAACTGCCCGTAAAGCCCCCAACAGAGCCTCCTCACAGGCAAACCGGTCGCCTGCAGGCAGGACCGTGAAATGCAGAAAAGGCCCAACTTCCTCGTCCTTTGTGTCAGGAGCTGCTCCGAAACAATGAGCTCCTGCTCGGAGACCGATCCCTGAGTGTCTCCGTCTCTGTTTCCGTTAGAGAAGGCAGATGGCTCTCTTCTAACCGGACACCTGGAGAAGAGCAAACACAGAACCGTAGCCACCTATCAGCGAAGTCGGACGCCCGTCCGGGCAGCGCTCCACCAGAAGCCAGATCAAACCAGCCGGGCCCAAGATGGCGGGTGCCATGACCGGAAGCGCCCGACCAAATAAGGAAGAAAAGGCGCGGAAACCCTGCTTTCAAGAAATTCCCACCCCAAGTCACAAATAGTCCACCCCCTAGTTAACAACCGACAACCACACGTAGAAACCCGAAGCCCGGGGCGGCCGGGTCCGCCGTCGGCATCTGCCGCTCTCACATCTTGAGAGTGTATGTACTTTGCTTTAATAAACTTCCCTGTTTGTGTCACTCATTTGCTGTGCTCTGTATGTCCCTGAATTCTTCCTTGTGACAAGAGGGGGACACTTCAGCAATATATTTGGGATGGGCCGGATCGAGGCCCCAGGGTCTCCCCAGGCCACCCAGCAACACTTTGAAGGGGCCTCCCTTCCCACAGACGCCCCCAGGTTCTACGGCATAGGAAACGTGTGCTGCCTGGACCTGACCTGACCCTCCCAGACTCGTGTGGCAGAGACCCTGTCACCGCTCCTTGAGCCAGAGCCTGCTCTCAACCCTCATAAAATCACCCGAAGCCCTCATGCTTAACCCTGGCCTCACTTAGAATCACCTGGAGCCCTTAATTACAGCACGGTTGTTTTCACCTCAATCAATTGACAAGAGTCTGAGGGGGAGGCCCCCAGATACTATCCTTTTTGAAACTCCACACGTGATCCTACTGGGAAGCATTTGCGGAGGTGACCAGGCACCTTAATCCACTGTATATTTAAAAATAACCAGTCTAGGGCGCCTGGGTGGCTCAGTCGTTGAGCGTCTGCCTTCGGCTCAGGTCATGGTCCCAGGGTCCTGGGATCGAGCCCCGCATCGGGCTCCCTGCTCGGCGGGAAGCCTGCTTCTCCCTCTCCCACTCCCCCTGCTTGTGTTCCCTCTCTCGCTGAGCCTGTCTCTGTCACATGAATAAATTAAAAAATCTTAAAACTAAATAAATAAAATAACATAACCAGTCTAAAATAATCCTTATGCCAAAAAAGACATATTTTGGGGTTACAAAATGCTCCCCTTGATGTGGAAGCAAAAGCAAGAGAAAACATTAAATATCCTTACTTCCTACAGCCCATTGACAAGTCCTTAAAACAGGTAGAGTGAAGCTCAGCGGCCTCTGTGTCAATACTTTGCTAAGGGCGAAAGCCAATCTTAGCTTAACATTGTCCCAAACACCCACCCTCAGCCCAGGATCCTGTAAGTCTACTTTAATATATACAAATTCTTTTGGAAACTTCCGTTTTCTCTACCCCCCAAGATGTATGTTGGCAATCATCCACCAAACATCTGAAGGGCCTCATGACTAAGGTCTTATTAGATGGAAATAAATGCCCTTTACCTAACCCCTCAAGGTCCTGGAAATCTTGCTTCCAAAATTCCTTAGAGACTTACATTATCCCTAACCCCCTCCCCATTTGAAAGTATATAATCTGCCTCTCCTCATGACCCCAGTGCAGCTCTTTCAGCCCTGGGGTCCTGTCCCATTAATAAAAATGGTGAGTAGGGTGCCTGTGTGGCTCAGATGGTTAAGCGTCTGCCTTCGGCTCAGGTCATGATCCCAGGGTCCTGGGATCGAGTCCTGCATCGGGCCTGCTTCTCCCTCTGCCTCTGTCTCTTATGAATGAATAAATAAAATCTTAAAAAAAAAATAAAAATGGTGAGTAATAAAACCACCTTTTTGCACCAAAGATGACTCAAGAATTCTTTCCTGGCCGTGGGCTCTGAACCCCAACATATTTTCTACATCATCCTTTAGTAGGTAAATGTTTATTTTCATGAGTAACCGCCAGTTTTCCAAAGTGAATGCACTCTTTACCCTCCTATCAGCAATATATGAGAATTCTAATTGCTCAACATTTCCACTGAAATTTGATATTATCCTTTTTTTCTCTATGTTAGCCATTCTAGTGGTTTCTCATTGTAAAATATGAAGTGGTCTTGCTGTTGTCCTACTGATTGGGATGAATGTGTAGGAGAGGAAAACTCGTTTCTTCCTTCTAGGTTCTTTGGCTGGTCTAATAATTAAACTGACATAAAACAGATTATTCAAAGGAGAAAAACAAATTTAATTTCCTCATTATAAGAACCCCAAAGATATTAGACTCAAAGACAAGCAAATGATGCTCAAATGCCATTCTGACCTAAGGAGACGGGGATAGAATTTAGAATTTCAGAAAGGGGGAAGTGTATTCACAGGAAAAAGGAAAGAGCAAATGCTGGCAAATGTTTTCCACAACAGGCAGGTGAATCTTTCTCATAAAAAAAATTATCTCTCGTATTAGCTCTCTTCCGGATTGAGGTCCCCTATCTAATTTCTTTTGGCAGTTAAATGAGAGGCAAAATAACATAACCTGAGTCTGCTGGGTTCTAATTGCCTTCAACTCAAAACAATCCACACACAAAGTGATTTATTTTGACATCACATATTGTCTCCCAAATGAATAAAGAAAAAGTGGCTCAGTTGGTTAAGCATCTTACTCTTGATCACAGTGTTGTGAGTTCAAGCCCTGTATTGGCCTCCATGCTGGGCATGGAGCCTACTTAAAGAAAAGAAAAAGGTAGTGTGTGTGTGTGTGTGCGCGCACGCACACGTGTGTGTGTGTGTGTTGTGTGTTGTGTGTATATACCTATTTCAGCCTCAGAAGTGAAGGAAATATTTCCATTTGCAACAGGATGTACTCAGAGGACATCTTGCCAAGTTAAATAAGCCACACGCAGGAATAAACCAGTTCTGTATATAATCCACATGTACGTGGAATCCATAAAAAGTTAAAATCACAAATGTGAAGATTAGCATGTTTGTTGTCAGGGGCTGAAGGTGAGGGAAACAGTTGAGATGCTAGTCAAATGGTAAAAAGATTCACTTAGGCAAGATAAATAATTACTGAAGGTCTGTCAGCTAGCCCTCTTGCTCAACTGCAGACCCCAGCAGTTAAAACCAGAAATAGACAAGAAGACCACTTACCTCATGCTGTGAAACCCCTGCTTTGTACTTTTTATCACACTTTCTTTAGGCGTTGAAGATGTTTTAAAATGACCAGAACATTCCAACTGCCAGGCCAGAAAAGTCCTGATAGCAACAGAATGCCTGCAAGAACTCATCCCCAGCTCTGCTCCTTCTAGGCTCATGACTGTGCACTGACCACGTACCAACCCCCACACAGGATCCTGTGCTCCCTGCCTGCTCTCTTGCGTGTGCCCCCCCTGAACCTCTCCCTATAAAACACTAGGTGTCCATCCTATTGGTAGAGAGATCAGTTATTAAGGCTTGAATCTACCTTCTCTCCCCAAAATAAATTTCTCCCTTTCGCTTTTCCAATCCCTTGTCTCTTGAGTTCTTGGTTTCTCTTGTGATGAATTTATAGGAGTTTTTTCAGCAACAGTGTGGGCAAACCCAGCCAGGAGCTATCCTTTCATTTTGTCCGGCCCCCTAGGGATTCATTCCCTTGGACAGAGCACTTGGCCAAGGCAGTGTACCAGAGCTTATCTGTTCATTTCCTGAGTTAGGAGTGATGCTAAATAGGTCAGTTACAGGCCTAATACACATCACTCTGGCTGTAATTAATAGTAGTGTATTGTAGGGGCGCCTGGGTGGCTCAGTTGGTTAAGCGACTGCCTTCGGCTCAGGTCATGATCCTGGAGTCCCGGGATCGAGTCCCGCATCGGGCTCCCTGCTCAGCAGGGAGTCTGCTTCTCCCTCTGACCCTCTTCCCTCTCATGCTCTCTGTCTCTCATTCTCTCTTTCTCAAATAAATAAATAAAATCTTTAAAAAAAAAAATAGTAGTGTATTGTATACTTAACATTGGCTAGGAGAGAGCATCTTAAGTGTTCTCACTACACATGCAAATCTTAGCTATGTGAGGTGAGGTATATGTTCATTAGCCTGATTGTGGTAGTCATTTCACAATGTATATTTGTATTTACTTTTTAACACTTGAGCAACTGGGTGCCTGGGTGGCTCCGTTGGTTAAGCGTGTGCCTTCAGCTCACGTCTTGATCCCAGAGTCCCGGGTTCGAGTCCCACGTCCCTCCCAGGTTCCCTGCTCAGTGGGGAGTCTGCTTCTCCCTCTCCCCTCGCTCCTCCCCCCTGCTCATGCTCTCTGTCAAATAAATAAAATCTTAAAAAAAAAAAATACTTGAGCAACTACAGGATGTTCAGAAGTAGGAAACAGGGTGCTGAATGGGTTGGCTTTTTTTTTTTTTTTTAAGATTTTATTTATTTATATGACAGAGAGAGAGACAGGGAGAGAGGGAACACAAGCAGGGGGAGTGGGAGAGGGAGAAGCAGGCTTCCCGCTGAGCAGGGAGCCCGATGCGGGGCTCGATTCCAGGACCCTGGGATCATGACCTGAGCCGAAGGCAGACGCTTAACGACTGAGCCACCCAGGCGCCCTGGGTTGGCTCTTCACGCACAGAATCTAATAAGACCAAAACATACAGTTCTTTCCTCCATATATCAGCTTTGGGATTTCAGCAAAACGTGAGCACCTGCCATTGAGATGTTGTAGCCAAACTCAGGTGAGTTCGCTCCTTGGTGAATTCTAGGTAGAGTATGGGCTACACCTGGTGGAGCTGTCGCACAAAGGAAAATTTATTTGCAGCGAATAAAAAGTTATTTTGGAATAACTTCCAAAGCCTTGACTCCCTGAGCAGTGGTGAGTGGGTTCCTTTTATTTAGGGTTAGAATGAATATTCAGAATGAGGAGTTCTGTCATCCCTGGTAGAGGCAGGTATCAGGTTGCACAGGTAACTGTCAGTCTAGGGGAATGGTTGATGAGCGAGCTCTTAGAGCCTGTGCAAACTGAATGGAGCTCTGGGCTCCTTA